TGGGATCGTTGTGTTCACTCCCAGGGGAACTACTTCGAGGGTGATGGATGAATTTAATACCTGAGATAAGTGTACGGGTTTTTATAGGCACAGTCTAGAAACTTTCCGATCGCACCTCGTATATGGTAGAACTATATGAAGAAAAGTGTAATTTCCTAGTCTCTGCTTGGAATTCTGAAATTCCTAACATTGATAGATGAATTACAAATGCATTAACTGTGGTCAGTTCAAGGAATTTATAATTTAATACACAGAGAATTTCATTCTTAGACCTCCAGAATACTGACTGATGATATTTGGACCATCCACCAATGTACAAGCAAGAATGATTGTATATTAAGGAGATTGTAAATCATCACTCATTTATGATTTTGTTTACCATATAAACTTAATCAGCTGTGAGCAGTTCCTGTACTTCTGCCAAATCTGGTGAAATACACTACGTTTAATGTACATCTTGTAAATTTTGTTATATTAGACGTTCTTTAAAATGCATGTTTTAGATTTGTGCAATAAGTGACAAGTAACAGTTCACTGATGACCAAAAATTTGGTGTTGAAAGGCTGATATGGATCCCATCACAGTGAGACTTCCTGGCACCAAAATTTATTCTCATGCAAAAAAAAGTAGGAGTACAGTTTTAAGTGAGAACTGGAGAATGGGAGGGAAAGCAGGAAAAAAAAAAAGGATACATGACAAAGTGCCTATGCAGGTTACAAGGTAGTGTCACAGAAATGATATCAGTTTATATAAAACATGCCTAATTTTTAACTCATATCTGTGCCAATGATACACAAACTTAAAAATCTGCATCTATAATAAATGTTACATGAAAGGTCTCTTACACTTTAACCACATCCTCATCCTTCAGTGTGTAGTCTGCCTCACTGGGAACTGGTGAGAAGTGACAAATACAATTGTTCACTGATACACATGTTGGGAATGCAATTCCTAAAAAAAAGGCAATAACTTACTTTGTAAAAAATTTCATGACAATACACAAAAATTCCCAGTACATTTTAAAGGCTATAAGATATCCTTCAAGCTAGAAAAATGCTGTCTTATTATGCACACGACACAGATACAAGAGTCAAATAAATGGGTATCTTACCTTTCTTCAATTCCTTTTCTTTCTTAAAGACCTTAGAAGTCTCTTCCGTCAATAAACTATCACCAAATTCGCATATTTCACGCACTGAGGCACCAACAACGCATTTATCAATTACTTGCTTCAGAACTCCTGAAAACAGAACAATTCATACAATGAGTAAACTATCTTCCTGAGAGTCCCAATGCACTGCAAGATATAAAATCTGTTATCCATGAAGCTAGGAATTATGTGCCTGTATTATATGATGTTAATTCGTAATTACTAAAGTAATTTTACTTCACCAATTTGACCAGCAAATCGAAATGTTCACCAACTTGCCCGCACACATGGCACAAACCATTATAACACAAGGCATTCCACCCATATGGGCCGTAACTAAAACATTCGTCCATAAGCCCCGTGATCCCTACGAACGGTAGTTTTTAATTAATGTGAACTTTCGTAATAAACACTTACGGTTAACTATGTCACCAGCCATTTTATACTTGGTGACAACCAAGTCTTCAGCAATAGTTTTCTCCCATTCTTCCTTGTCCGCCATCTCTTCGTCTCTCTGTATGGTCACGTGACATCACAGAAGCGTAAGTCCGAAATATAATGGCCGCATGGAACCCAATTAGAAGGTGTACGTTATGACGTACAATGTAAACAAAAATTAAAAGATTTTGTCGGATGAAATTTAAAATATTTATAGTCCCATCATATTTATATGTTACTATTTGTTAAAAGTATTTATCAATATAAGAGCACATATGATCTCCTTTGTATCAAATTTGACTCAACTATTCAAGTCCACGAACCTTACGCATTAAAAACCGTTAAACTGGAAAATATTTATGATTAATTTTTTTAGTACCAACTTTACAGGGAGGCCAAAGCCGACCCCGGGCTGTAGCGCCGAGGAAAAAGAAGTAACAACTTTACAGCTTCTTGGTTTTCCTTATTCGTCATTTTTCACATGGTCTGTTCACTGCCCATTTACCAGAACACGTTTTACGGTCCAATATCACTCCTACTCCATAGAATTTACCTGAATCAAAAAGTTACGGTGGAACCACGGTTCCGGAGAATTTTACGTAAATACGTCTATACGGTAAGGAGCTCTAGTACGTCAAAAAATCTCAGCCATCACAAAACATGTAAGCAATAATGGTAATGACGCTTTCTTGTGTAATTACTTTTGCGGTAATACTGTAGTTAACTGTAAATTAGTCATGAATATGTTAAGATTTTCATGTTATCAATGGGTCGAAAAGCGAAGATGGTCTGCTTCTTGCTTCAACATCTGGGACCTTGTTTCGGCTTCTGAATCATACTACTGCAACGCAGTTTTTGGGAGTAGGGTAGAAGTATCAAGGCTTTAAAAAATAAATAAATAGGCGCTGGGAGGCGAGCGCGCTACATAGGACTAGTTCCGTTTCGCAGCTGCCCTGAGGATGAGAGCAGAGATGGCTCTCGAAACATTGGCGGAAGAAATGGTTCAGTCACCTGACGCGGCTTGTTACCAGAGAGTCTTTCATCAACTTCTGTCGCCGCGAAAGCTTCACTTTATAAACCATTTTAATATTATTCTCCCATCTATGTTTACATGTTCTGAGTGACCGCTTTCTTTTAAACTTTCTTACCAAATTCTGAGTGCATTTCTCATCTCCCTATAAGTACTACAAGATGCAACTTGGAAAATACGCACAATATAAGAACAACGCCAGGACCAAAGTTGTCTAATTTGGCAGTTAGATGACAGAACAAAGGTCGCAACCTAAAAAAAAATTGTCCTGGGTTTGAGTCCTGAAAGTTTCTGTAGCTCAGAACCTGAGCAATATTAGTGTCATCATCATCATCAACTACTACAAGGACTGGGCCTATTGACCCATTTCGGGACAGTTGCTCAAGGCAATTTGTATAGTGTGTTTGAGTAGTGACTGACAAGCCCACTGCCTCTGTACAATTTCTGCTCAATCCTGATTTGTCTGCTACAGCCATGAGTGAGAAACATGGCCACTGAATTTTTCATACTTATTTTCTCCTTGTAATTTATTTTGAATTTTATTAATTTGAGAAACATAAAATTGTTTTCAGTTCATTGTTAATAATGCAAATTAGACCATCCAGTTAATCTGGAATTTAAACACACAACAGCCACTTAAATACTTTGGTATTAAAATTTATGTGTTAAAAAAGATGCATCCATTTACAAATACTGAAAACTAAATACTGTAATTTGTTACAGCAGTTAAAGTTTCATTATGATTCATCAAAGATTTATATTATACCATGAAAAATGAACAGAAAATATTGACCTTCAATTCCAAAGTCACTTCTTTATGTTTTATTATTAGTGTGAAACTACCAAGTCTTGAACATACAATTATATATAATGCATGTTTCGCAATTATATGTATTATGCATCTCTCTCTCTCTCTCTGATGGAATTATTTGATGCATTTTTTGTGTTTCAAAGAAACATGTCATAACCTGTACAGCAATAATTACAAGTCACTTGGCTGCAAGAGATCTTGCCAGTGAACACTGTGACTGATGTATGAATATGTTGCCAGCCTTGCACACTGTTAACGCACTAAATTATTGTGTAAAAACAAATCTGTATCAGATACACAGATTATATGTGTCTGTTCTATATGTCAAAATATAAATAAGACAATGTAACTTTTTGGAATATCTATAGTTGTTTCGCAATTTTAAACTTGTTATAGGACTGCTTTCTTTACACCATCTTGTTATCAGATGTCAGTTTTTTATAATGAATATGATTATACACCATTAATATCAATCTTCCTTTACATATCACATACTTCACTGATAACACAGCAGAAGTAACATATGTAACAACTAGATTACATGACTTTCTATTCAAAGTACTTCATCAGTTGCTTAAGAAATGTAATTACACGTAATTTGGGGTTTTAACGACATTACACAACACTTACAATGCAGGTGCATACTAAACATTCACAAAGGTCACAAATTAACAACGGCTTAACAGAAAGTATCAGAACAAGCACTAGTCGAAGGCAAATTACAAAGAGGATGTTTATTATAAATGTAAGCCATTTCTTATTTACATATCGTCTGACTGCCAGCTTTGGAGATGAGTACAACAGATTTACAGGGGAAGAGGGCTCAGTAGACTGTCTGACGGTGCACGCGGTGACGGTGATCCACTGTACAGTTATCCGTGAAAAACGTATACTTATACATTGAAAAAACAAATGACTAATGCATGTGAACATACTACAGTTTAAGTATTCTAATTATACAAACAGGTTATTGTCATCCTACTTTATTTTTTCGTCTTTGCTTCTTAAAATATTTTCTAAATATAATTACAGTGGATTGTGTTGGAATAGAAAAACAAATATAATATATTATTTACCGTTACTTATAATACTTAATTTATAAAAGCATATAAATAACCTTTTGAAAGAGCGAGTGTTGAATGTTTTAGGAGACAGTATGACTTGTTTCATTCATTTGCATAAGTTTAATTCTGGAAGTTTCTCTACGAGACTTTACGCAGAACAGTAATATTGGCACCCCAATGGGAAGGGTTTATGTTTTCCTATCAACACAGTTCATTTCTTAAAGAAAAAAAGACGAGTTAAATATTTGTATCGTGGTAAAATGCTTGGTAACTGGACACCAGTTACAAATATGGCATATGTACATGAAATTGCGGGATTTCCTTCGCTCAGATTATATTAAACTAGAGCTTCTATGCAGACATCATTATTTCCTTGGACTAGTAAACAAATAAATATTTTTAATTTCACAGAGGTAAATAACACTTCCTAAAGTTAACCCTCTTAAACCTGGAAGATGGCTGTCTTCTGGGTTGTAGTGCCCTGTAGTCTGGTTACCAACATTTCAGTGGTTCTTGCTGCCTCCATCATCAGGGTGATCAAGTCACTTTCATCACTCACTACCAGATGACAGTCATCATCAGACACACTGTCATCAAAACCTCAAACCCTACAATTAAACCTGATATCAATATAATACATACCTAACTTCTGAAAGGACACAATTGTACAAAACTAACATATTCTGGAATTCTAATAGGTTCCCATGAAGAATTTATGTATTTAATTATACACAAATAATTACATATAACAACTATGAGTACAGAAACATTCAATTTACATAGGCAATGTAATATGCATGCTTGTATTGCATGGATATTTGGTTTTATTAGGGGGATGTGTGTTCTGCCTCTGAAGACCTCAAAAATGTAGGCCCACCTGAAACGTCTATTAACGTGAAAAGCAATACATGCTTTCATAACTTACTATGTATCACATTATACATATTAAAAAATTATGCAAAAATACCAAGTCCATGAAAAACAGCATACTAGTTTATGTTGTTACAAAGTATACAAAACACTGGCAATAAAATCCATAAAAGTTGCATAATGCAATATACAGTTAAAAATTACTTATAAATAATTAATCTGACTTTTTTTAAGCTCAGACATATACTCTGTGTAACTGCAGCCCTGACTATTGAATAACAGTAATCAAAGTGTGAGGAAAATTATGTTGATGAAAGCATTGAAAGGGTTGCAGCTACACTGAGGAGAATAATATAATACCCTGTACCCTGAGAAAAATTGAGTGTACATAAAATATTCTGATATTTAATATCAAACACGCTACACTCTAGCTGCTAGGTGCATGTTAAAATGTTTACAAATTGTGATTCTGGAGGGGGACTTATTTTGGATCAAGATCTTCAATTTGAGGCTTGTGGTATTCTCACAAGAAAATGTTATATCAAATTTACTCAGGTACATTTTGTTGTCTGAAGATGGTATACTGTACTAGCAATATGATGCCAAAATAGTCAATGCGGAGGTGAGAGCACCTTTCCTTACGATGGACAGCAAATTATTTGTAAAGGCATCATATATAAAGCTTTTGTAGTATGAAAAGAATCTGCTTTCTGTTTCTTAGTGGGCGACACGTATGTATGTATAAAAAAGATAGGAATTTCCTTAGCTCTCTTTTGTAAGAAAATGGATGGACATGTCCTGCATGCTTTCAAACTCAGAGGATGGTATTTAAAGCAAATTTACAATTTTATGTACAAACAGAATAATGTCATGCCGTTCAATTTGATAAAGCTACACTCATGGTACAAGTCAATGAAAGGATGAGTGGTATATTATGTCAATTTATAATTGACAGAAAATTAAAATGAAACAGCAGTAACAGTAGTCCTCTCCTCTTAATAGGACATTTGTTCTACAGCTTCCTGAAATGTAAAATCTGATGATACTACAGTTGGTGTCAGAACATGGGTAATGTGCATAAGTAGGAGAGAGAAAGTACTTCTTCTGCGTCGCTTAGCCGACACATCTTGTACTTTTCAGCACCTTTTGACCACACACAATTAAAATTAGGTAACACTGTCAGACTGCTGGTTCCATTTCATAAATAGTAATCAAATTGGACAGTGAATGATGAAATCTCACATTTAAATTATTCTGATGCAGATTTTTAAACTAAAATTAGAAAAAAA